TGGGAATTTTTTAAAGAAATCATAAGTTTCCATGCTTCCACTGACTCTACTTCCTTTAGGTTTGGGAGAGATGGGGATATAATCCTACATCTCCACTGTCCAAGTCTAACATCCTAACCATTATTCTGTGTTAGCTGTGATCTGTTTATATTCATTGCATTAGGATGCTAGTTGCACTTAAGGCTAATTGAATGTTTTAGTTTGTCTAACCTTGTATGCAGTGGAGCTGCCTGCTGGCCCTGATTTACAAGAAGGAAAGGAAAAGCCATCAATCTCCTTAAAGAAGGTCACTTCTAAGCATGGGTGTTTTTTCTTTTTGTTATTTCTGTGATACAGCAAAACAGGAAGTCAATTAGTTTTTCATGCATATAGAGCTTCTTTGGGAAGTTACAGACAAGATACATTGTCTTTGCACTATCTTGAATATCTATTATAAGTCCAGTGGATAGTGGCATGGTGGAGTGCAGGAATTCTATGTTACATATGATGGATACCAGGGAAGTCATATTTAACTATGGTGAACATTTGGACCAATTTTGTATTCTTTCTCTTTTAGCCTAGAAGCAAAATAGCAGTGGCATCTGGGAAATGTCTGGTACTAGGCATTGCCCCTGGAGTCCATTATTATACTGTCAATATTGATGTCCCATGGAACTGTTTTACAGAGTTTTTCTCCCTATGGGAAGCCTTGACATTCTGAAAAGTGTGGGCATTGCAAAGCTGAAAGCCTAAATATGCACAAACTGAAGCACAAATTGCTTGACACAGGCAAAAACAAAGCCAAATTATTGATACCAACAAACAGAATTTTGAACATATTTATCCAAGGCAATGTATAATTAAATTGGAAGGAAAGAAGGAAGGAAGGAAGGAAGGAAGGAAGGAAGGAAGGAAGGAAGGAAGGAGACATTAAATATTGAATCATATTTTAATAACTTTAAATAACTTTTCAGAAATAGAATATTATTTGACTGTTAAAACAAATAGACATTCTCCTTAAATCTACAAATTATGATTCAGATAGATAAATATGAGATCTTTATCTCTCCCCTACACAAAACATATATTCAGTATTTAAATCTCAAACCTTCCTGAAAATACTTTACAAAATTGATCAACATCTTCTTCTTAACAGCATATTATTTTAATATGCTGTTCTGTTTGATGTTATTATTATTCATCATCTCTTTTACAAAGGAGGTAAGCAGAAAACAGATAAGAATTTTCTTCTATTTCCAACTTTGTCTATCCAGTTAAATAACCAGAAAAGAAGGTATATTTCTTCAGGTTCTTTTTCCTTATATGACCTATATATGATTTCAGTTTCCTGAAACAAGGAGAGACCTGATCAGCATGTATTTAACAATCCCATAACCAAGATCAGTTAAACTATCTGAATAAATTTGGGTTGTGAATATGTATTCTTAGAACACCTGCTTCAAGGTGGGAGGAGAAAGACGCAAACAAGGAATATTCTGTAATGTATGTATGAGGGGGCAGTCATACCATCAATATTCAAATTGCTGTCCACTCACAACTAGCACTTCAAAGCTTTCTACCTTCATTTCACAGAGTTGATATTTGTTGCAATTCAGTGAGAAAAGTTAATGTCCTCTTGACCTCTTTCTCCCCCTGGGAAAATGTGTGTCCTTCTTCCTCCTTTTATCCCTGCCAATACTATCATTTTAGAAGTCATCTTTGACATTGTTTTGCAAATGTATAAAAGTACAGAGTGTGTTTAAAGTGCTGAATCTTTATGCTATGTTCAAGCTGTTATAGAATATTTCTTTTTCTTAAATGACAGCAGTAAATTCCTAATTAACCCCATCATCACTGTCTAGGGCAATAGCTATGGTTTTCTGTTTGGTCACCACTAATACCAAGCATTGAAGAGATAACCAAAAATGATTGTTTGCAATTGTACTATTTCTTTTAAATGCTTTTGGGATCAGACTGTATTTCTAGTGATACTTCTTAAGTAATAGAATTCCCATGTCAGAAGAAATCACAAACATAGCCACGAGGAAAGTTTTAATTTTATTCCATTCCCTAATATCCCTAAATACAAAGTTTGCATCTGAAGGAATATTTAAAAAGTGATAAAGAGTATATTTCTTATGCTGGCGGTAAGAAATTAAAAGATTCATTAAACCATATAATTTGGTCTTCTTACAGTCCTCAACTTACCACAGTTCATTTAGTGACTGTTCAAAATTCAACAGCAATGAAAAGTGACTTATGGCCATTTTTCATACTTATGACCATTGCAACAGCCCCATGGGCATGTGATCAAAATTCAGATGCTTGGCAGATGCTTGGTTAAGGTTAGGGTTGGGTCACCTTTTGAAACTTTCTGACAAGCAAAATCAATGGGGATGCCAGATTCACTTAACAGCCATGTTGCTAACTGAACAACTGCAGTGATTCACAGCTGTGGCAAGAAAGACTATAAAATGAGACAAAACTCATTTAATAATTACCTCACTTAAAAACAGACAGATTGTGGATGTAAGTCAAGGACTATCTGTATAGCACTGTTTGAACTTAAAATTACTACATGTAATAGTATAATCTTGGACAGAAATATGATGGAAGGATTACAACGTGGTGTTAAATTATATGACTAATGCATAGAATCTGTCTATAATCTATAATCACTGGCACATTGGCAAAATAGTCACCATCAGCATCCAGTTCTCTTAAAAAGAATTATCATTATAAAATGTTAATCCATAATATAGTAGGAACACTCATTTGCTTACAGCACGGGTATCAAACTTGTTGGATCACATTGCTGTCACATGGTGTTTAGTAGCGTTTTTGCTCTTCGTGAAGCATGGGTGGTGTGACCTGCATGTGATTCATCTTGCCCATGGGACGCCAGTTTGGCACACCTAGCTTACACTATTTTACACTCAATGGAGCATATTATCCTATGTTTTAAAAGTGGAGAGAACAAAATATGATCACTGATAAACCAAAATCCCACTGTTGTTTGACCATCCCTGTTATTCAAATATTACTAGATAACTATGAAGAAGGTTGATTGTGCTGCATTAGTAACAAAGTCTTCATTGTCAATGAAAATAGCAATACTTGATAACACTTTATTGCACGTTGCATGTTGAGGGTCAAAGGTATGTACAAGGTCTGTTTTTCTTCACCATATCAGCAAAAGTTAATATGCAAATCAGATTCTTTCTTTAAATTGTCTTCAGTGGATAATTGTTGTTGACTCTTGCTTTTTTAAAAAAAATCCCCCTATACCAGTATTTGAGGAAAAATGTTCATATGTGCATTCAAGGATTTTAATAGAAAATTTCCCCTACTCAGCTAATGTGAATTACTTTTATTTGCAAGTGTGAAAAAAACACTGAATTTTTATTTCTTTGGATATTCAGAGTGACCATTAAGAGAGCCTATAATGCAAATGAATAGGTCAGAGATCACACATTTATACTCTGTATTAGGTCTAAGACAAATAAAAATGCCTTGGTTTTACATACCATGGAAGTTTAAGCAGGTGATTTAAAAAGGATTAGGAAGATGAAAAAGTACAATGTGGGTGAGCTTGGCTGGACAACAGATATGAACCAATAATTTAAAAGCCCATTAAAAACATAGTTATTCAGTTTTCTGGCTAGGATGTTAAGATGAGAAAAAGATCAGTTTGGCAGTTGAAGAGTGACAGTTAGAAAGTAAAGGATACAGTTGGCCAAATCAAGGCAGTGTTTTTAAACTTTGCAACTTGAAAACATGTGAACTTGAACTTTCACAATTCCCAGCACCTATATTGGTAGTCCTTGACTTCTGGCCACAACTGAGCCAAAAATTTCTGTTGCTAAGTGAGACATTTGTTAAGTGAATTTTACCCCATTTTAAAACTTTCCTCACCACAGTTGTTAAGTTAATCACTGAAGTTCTTAAGTTAGTAATGTGGCTCTTAAATGAATCTGGCTTCCTTTGTGCAAAAGATGATCACATGACCCTGGGACACTGCAACCGTCACAAATATGAGTCAACTGACAAGTGTCTGAATTTTAATCACGTGATCATGCGGGTGTTGCAATGGTTATAAGTGTGAGAAACAGTCATAACTCGCTTGTTTAAATCTCATTGTAACTTTGAATGGACTACCTGTATTTAAAATTAAAATTTCATCAGAGATATTTCCTGGTTTTACTGTAAAATGCTTCTCAGGGAAGCATCAGAACTGGCACTGCTGGCAATATCAATGTTTCAAGTTAGATATCTTTAATGCTGGCTTTCTTCATGAACAATGTTAAAGAGTAAGTTTGATCTTCTCTTCTACTATATGTGCAATGCATGATTATATTCCAGATAATGGAATCCCATTAAAGGCTGATTTCAGCACAAGACAATGTCAGCATCTTATAATAAATTTTCAAACCAACATGTTTCCATAATGAATTAAAGAGAATATTGTACCATGCAACTATTCCTTTATTAGTCAGTCCATTCGATCATCCATCTAAGCCGTCAGCCAGCCCATCATAACATTTCCATATTATACCCGTTTTACATATGACCAACTTAAACCATATCCACTTATGATACTATCATTCTTTAGAAAGAAAAGAATATGGATAATGCTTTGTAGTCAAGAATTCTGACATTTCCAGGTATGGAAAGTCCCCCATTTGAATTGCTGTAGCCACTTTAACTTCATACAGGTAACAGTGATCTAGATGTAATGGTATTCTATAAGGCAACCTCATACAAGAAAAATCACTGATGGGGCATATATATATATGCTCTCTGAAAAGGCAGCAGGTTTCAGAGAGCATAGGACTTTGAATTTGCAAATAAAAAAGTGCTCTATCAGTGATTTCCCTTGTATGAAACTGCTTTATAGAATACCATTAAGAATACCATTAAGTCACATGGAATTATATCACCTGAGACTCCATATAAAATAGCTTCCTACATTCACATAGACTGTGGTTTTCATACATAGTGAATGTATTGCCTCTTGGTATTAAAACATCATATGAATGTACATAGTACTTAATTTGAACTCTTATTCCTACAGTTTTCAGAGATAATTTATGAGACTCTGCAGGTATAAATTAACCCCTTTATAAACAGACGCCAAAGTGTCCAGTCACCATACAAACAATTGTTAAAAATGTTGGTTGGAGTTATTATTATTATTATTTTGTAATGTATCTTCATGTGAAAGACATTTTTCAGTCAGTTTAACCTTTCTAGTGCAGATATTTCTTTTACTGGCATGAATTTGCTTCCCAAGATTGTGTTAATCCTTGGGAAAAAAGAAACCTTGTTAGTTATTTCTAACTTCTAGAAATCTGCGTCAAACCAATATAAGACTGAATACATTATACATTGGATTTTATGGTTGTCCCAAAACAATTCCTCTGTATCTTTTAATTTATCCTAGACTTAACAATTAGACTAATTGATTTGGAATGTTATACTTACTGTGATATTGAATATTTTCTTGCAATTCATACACATGTCCAAGGTCTCTGACTTTCTATAAGGAATGCACCCCATAAGCTATTTTCAAACTCCTCAGGTACTATGCAAAATTACCATTTATTACACCACAGAAGATAGAACAATGGAAGGTTTTTGAGAAGTGGTCCACTGGATAAAAAAACTTCTAAGTTTCCTATGGAACGAGGAAGTTTGTGGATAAAGAAGTACAAGCATATAACTACAGGAAAATAGATTGGATCAATACAATAGGAACTAGCATACAGTATACTTATTTTGAATTTGAGAAACCCATTCTTGGTGACAGCAGCAAGGACAACATGGATGAGTGACCTGCATCAGGCATCAAAGCACTAAGACAAGCTCATTGCACATCTTGTCACATTGAACAGAAACCTCAACAACATTGGGATTTACAGCCAAATGCACCAGTATAAGGTTCTGAATAGGCAATCTTTGGCTGCATCTGGAAACAGACTGCTGATTGGACTGATGTGCCAAAGTGCAAAGTTGGGCAGAGTATTCCCCACAATCTCTTTGCCTTCCACCACCTGATGTGAATAGGTAGACTGTTTCTTCATATGATAGATTCTTCTTCATCCTCTTCCATCTCTTTATCAATTTGAAAAGCTATGTTTTCATAGCTAGTTATCCCTCCATATTTTCTCATATGGACCATCAAAGGTTTAGGAGACTGGCTACCTGCCAGGGTGGCCACATACATGCCAGTTCTGTTCTCCTCCAGAGAAGGACCCCAATCCATAGTTGGTCTGCTAGCTTGCTGAATTCTCTGCAGGTAAATGAGCAAATGAATCACTGTCATTATAAGCACATCCCAACGAAATTACAGTAGCTAGGAATTAATTATTTTGCTGTTCATGGGTATTAACAAAATCTGCCATTTATTTGTGGGTTTTGATGGGATTTTAGTTAATCTAAACTAGTGCCCAGTTAATCATATCATTTGTAGTAATCTACAATATTTGTCCCGCTGTTAACATAAGAAATGATTTCAATATCGCAGTTCAAAAAATTGGAATTTCTGCATTTCTTTTCTCCTGGAACTATAAGGAATTATGGCACCCAAGTTCTGTTCCACCTTGGGATTTCACTAGGCCATCTCAAGACTTGTAAGCCCTCAGATACAAAAATTCTACTTTTGTTGTAGGATGTTTTTTGAGATCTAATTACTTGGCTAATGTGGTCCTAACACCTGCACAGCTGAGGTACCAATAACTTTGGCTGGTATCAACATTCTTCCTTGTTTCCTTGCTTTATCTTCCACCTGCCCTGTCACACTCTGTCTTACTTAGTAAATACAGTAACGGAGACCATAATAATATATATATATTCCACTTATATGCCACATAATTGCTATGTGCCAATTAATAATCTACCTAATGTTTATATTATCCCAAGGTTCACATAAACTTTCACCCTTCCTAATCTGAGTGTCATAGTAAAAGCATGGAAGATGAATCCTAAATGTGACTTCTAGACAGCAATAACTACAATGTTTATTACTAGTTGCAGTTTTAAATTTATTTTGCATATAATAATATGAAAAACATGAAAAACATACCATATTTTTCAGAGTATAAGACCCACTGGACTATAAGATACACCAAGATTTTGAAGATGCAAATTTAAAAAAAAGTTTTTGCACTCTGTAGACCTCCCAAAAATGGCCTGTTTTTCACAAAAACTGCCCCTCCCTTTTTAAAAAAGGTATGCATAGCCTTTAGGAGCTTTGCAGAGTGATCCTGGGGGCTGGGGAGGACAGAAATGAGCAAGAAACGGCCTGTGTTTCGCTCATTTCTGCCCTCCCCATCCCCCAGGAGCAGTCTGCAAGGCTCCTAAAGGCTATGCACAGCCATTTTGGTGAAGGGAGTGGGGTTTCAGGAGGCAAAAATGCTGTATTCAGTGTATAAGATGCACCCAGATTTTCAGCCTCTTTTTTGAGGGAAAAAGGTGTATCTTATACTCTGAAAAATATGCTAAATTTCAAAGAATAAAGAAAAACTAATCAAGGATATGTATTAACTAATAATAATCAACTAATCAGTAAAAGAAAACTAATCAATAATACTATTTTGTGCAACAAAAATTAATCAACTCTGATATTGCTGATGTATTTAGGATTCAACCCTAGGATCATGTCTGTCCCTCATATGATCATTCAGCATCTGGCAATAGAGAGCAGTAGCAAAGGGACCAAGCAGCACCACCTGGGTTACTTTGGTCATCTGATGCCCATTGTTGCTATAAAGGTAAAAGTTGTGTCTGACTCTAGGGGTGGGTGCTCATCACTGATTCAGAGCCGAGGGAACCAGTGTTGTCCAAATATATTTCTATGGTCATTTGGCATGACTATACGTCAAAGCACCTTCCCACCGAAGTGGTACCTATTCATCTATTTGCATGCTTTCAGACTGCTTGGTGGGTATGAGCTGGAGCAAGTAACAGGAGCTCACCCAGATGCATGGCAGTCGGGTCTCGAACCACTGAGCCATTACACTTTCTGTTGTTGCTATATTCCATAACCTTTTTCTTACTTTATGGTCCATGAGAGCAGCTTGTTAGCAGATTGCACATATGCAATCAACATGGAGAGGAAACAAGGTATATTTGACCATTATTGGGAGTAGTTTGCAAACCCAAGTAAAGTGGAAAGGAAGGTATAAGGAGCCATGGTGTCCTTCTGAATTGCTGGCTGGGTAAAAAGTGGACTCTGGAGATCAAATCAACTTCAAACGGGTTGCAGAAATCTAATTTGTTTGTTGAACCCCTGTAATACTCAAAACTCTCACATACAGTACATAAGGGAGATGACTAGCAGTACCATATGACTTCAGCACATAATGCAAAAGTGCTGAACTCCATTCTCTTTCTAGAGACAATCACTTTGCAGTCTACATATATACCAGTAGAGGTCATCTTCTGCCTCAGCATAATAGTCTGAAAAATGATCTTATTAATATAATAACATAAAATGGATGTAAAGAGGGAACTTTTCTATCTAGGGCAAAATGTACAAAGAATTATATAAGGGAAATATATCCCTGGAGCTATAAAACTTTGGGTATGTGACAGAAAATAAAATAAATAAATTGATGATTAACATCAGGGACAGGTTCTGCACTTACATACCATAAAATCAGAAGCAAAAGATCTCCATGGAAAACAGGATTGTCACTGAAATGTGTGACTCAGTGACTATCCTATTGTGAATTTGGAGATCCATTTTTAAAAAAATTAAGTTTCTGTCAAAAGACCTGTTATGGGTCACCTTGACGGAAGTATCTCTGAAGAGTTCTTTTTTAAGGACTAAGTGTCCCTGTAAATGTATGCAGTGCCTTTTATTTATGAACGGAAGTAACTTCTGATTGTTAAAAACTTACACACATTCAAAAAAGCCAAAGACACATAGGAAGCTACCTTGATATCTATATCAATTTAAGTGACTTCTTGGAATAACAGCAATATGACAGATTCTCAAGCAGAGAAAGTTTATTCCTCATCATCTTCCCTTATGTCCTTTGTTTTTGAAATGGGAATTACCAGGGATTGGTAAGTGAACATTTGCATTTATAAAAATTGTGCATTCAATTACTGTCCCTCTGCCTAAAATTCCCATGGCAAAATGTATTTGGGCTGGAAGCAAAGTTTTTAAGATCAGTTTGCCTTAAGTAAACTGAGCACTTGCATAGAAGGATAATATCAATAATACTATCTTAATAATAACAAACATAATTTTAGGAAATATGAAAAGCAAGAGAAAGGTCCCCTTGTTTTAAATATGTAATAGCCAGCAACAGGTTAAGAGATGAAATTTCAAGTTTTGTAGGCAGGAATATTTTTTTTTTAGCTTTGGCTGGTTAGCATTCACATATATTAAATGAAAGGCTAGGGAAAAATATTTTGTATTTGCCTAAATAGTAAGAAAAATCATTATTTCTGGCATAATGTATTGTTTTTTTAAATTATTTTCTTGCATCTATTGAATATTGCAAACCTGAACTCTGTTGCAAATATCTAAAAAAAAAAAGGAATTCATTATCGCTTTCAGAAAATTGGTCTTGTTTTTCTCCTTCTTTTAAGAATTGGGCGGGACTTTATATCCTACTGAGCATCTAGAGCAGTCTTGGCAACTTTAAAATATGTGGACTTCAACTTCCAGAATTCTCCAGCCAGCTAGGGAATTCTGGGAAATGAACTCCACCTATCTTAAATTACCAAGTTTAAGAAAGACTGCTCTAGAGCTTGAAAGCATTTGTTTTCATTCTGGAAAGAGGGCTTGCCATACTCCTGGCACACACTTTGTGTTCAAGGCTCATCTGGTGTAATAAAGAGACTAAGGATATTCTCATTGTCTCTGCTGACAATCAGAGATCAGCTCTCCCTTGCAAGCGCTTCTTAGGTAGAGGAGGTGGAAGCAATATTATCTAAGTCAGCAGACCAACACTCACAAACACAACATATGGTCTTTTGGGTGTTTTGGAGACAGAAGCAAGGAACGATTGCTTCCTTTTTTGTGAAGGAAGGAGACAGGTCTATTTTTTTTGACTCACAGAGCACTGGAAGGTTCAGGGGCAATGCATCCAACAATGGATTTTGTGCAAGGAGAGTGAGCATTCTTTCAACAGCCTTCTCTTTCAACAGCTTAGTTATGGGTTCAGTTGGCCGAGTAATAATAGGCTGAAGGTGCAGTTTGAGAGTTCCAGACTCATAACAATACAGGTAATACCATGTTGAAAGTCGACTGGATTTGCAGACAAGTAGGACAGAGAGGAAGAATGATGGGTTGACCTTCAAGTGGGCAAAATGATTGCAAGCAGTAAAGCTGGGGTGTGGCCACGTTCTTTATCTATTAACTGTATGAATAGAATGAACTGTATGAGTTCATAATGACCCTCCAGATGTAATGCTAAAGTTCAGACTTGTACTGAACAAATTTGAACAAATCTGGAAGAGCACTGAGCATTTCCTGCCCAGGTGTCAGTTCAAAAGCTTCCAGATTTGATTTCAGTTAACCAGAGTTATCGATATGCCTTCTCTAAATTGTGTTTAACTTTAACTATGACAAAGATAGACCATTTGTAGACCTAGAAGTGCATATTTGATTAGACCACAGTTAATATTAATTGGCTTCAATCCGAAAGCTTTCGTTAACAATCACAGTGAAAATTCCAGTTTCTCTCCTTATTGCAAAAAGGAGAGAAAAGAAGACATTGCTGAGCTTTACAAAGGTGATCATACATCACTGCCCAAAACTGAGATTAAAATGTAGAAGGAAAATATAGGAAATATGTGATTGGGGCTAATTCTCACTTCTATACCCTCAAAATTCCTCACGTGTAATTATTATTTTCCTTTGATGCTTCATCTCTGTAATGCAACCAACACCTTGCTCACCTTGGTCCATAAAATATGATTTGGGTCTTAACAATGCAAAATAATGGTTTGGGATTTTTTATACCTGCTATCAGAAGAAAACAAACAGAAAGACCACAAAACCACATCACATGGGCATTAGAACTGACTAGATGAGAAAATGCAGTAAATAATGTTTCAGTTGGGCAGTCAGACAATAAAATGAGGAAAAACAGAGCAGAGGTAGGCCATCTGCAAACCCAGGTCTCATCCTCTCTCTTGGGGACTGTCTTTGCAAAACCTATGTTGATGAAAATGGGGGACAAAATATCTTAGTAGGAGAAATGGAGAATCTCTAGTTGTGCAGTGGTGGGAATGCAGTATTGCAGGCTCATTCTGTCCACAGTCAGGAGTTTGATCCTGACTGGCTCAAGGATGACTCAGCCTTCTACCCTTCTGAGGTCAGTCAAATGAGGACCCAGATTGTTGGGGGCAATATGCTAACTCTGTAAAACCACTTAGAGAATGCTGTAAAGCACTAGGAGGTAGTATATAAGTTTAAGTGCTATTGCTAGACTGCTATGGAACTAAATCCATTACAACTCTAGCATAAGTCCTAGAACAGTTTTACATTTGGGTTCCCAAATGTTCCCTTTCTCTTTGCATAACTGCTTCGCTTGTTTTAGCCTAACAGGATTACTCTAGTGTTTTGGGTTGGATGGTTTTCCTCTTGTTACTTACTTGCCAGAGTGTTCCTTCTTCTCGGAGCACAGCAAACAGCATTCCTATGGGGATCATCAGGCAAGAGAAGATCCCCATTAGGATGCCCAGAGCCTCAGCCCAAGATGGAAAACAGTAGGTCCCATTGTACTTTGAAGGCTGGTACTTGATAATGCTGTAGACAAGCAGGGCCTGAAACAGAACGCCAGACATCAGAGAACCATTCTATCTGCCATGGGAGTTTTCATTTCCTTTAAAACTTAGATATTACAAGTTAATTAGATATATATCATACTCCTTAACAGATGCAATATTAATTACATAGGATTAGGGTAGTGGCACTGCAGAACATCATCAAGGAGATAGTCAGATATACTCTTTTATCCTTAGCTACATAGAATTTTCTATTCCCATATAAATGGTTAGGTGGGGATTGATACGGAATGAAGTTAGCATTTATTTAGTCACTAAAGGGTTATCCTTTGTTTTTTCTGCCGTTGGTATGGAACACCTGTGTAGAGTAAAGGGAACTTCCTCAACTTCAGTAGATGAGGTTTCATCACCACCTTGTACAAACAAATACTCCATAACCTTGGGATGTTCTCCTCCTCAGCAGAATAGGCAAAGCTTTCCTAGAAAAAGATAAGATAAAACTATCCTCCTTGCCCTTAGCGAAATCAAGTGAGATGAAGGCACTGAAAACAAGGGTGATTTTTTTCTTTTAATGGTTTGGAGCCCATATGAGCTGGTCAAAAAATCCCAATGAGATTGAACATCCATGCAGATCCAATCAGGAGGATGCTCCATGTTTGCCAGCTGTAAAAGGCATTTGTTGTCTTTATCTCTTTGGAGTTCCCTGACTGGAAGAAGGGGTGCAAGATCATTATCCCCCTTTCCCCCTTAATGTTCTTCCAATAATATCGGGTATTCCTTGATGGCTTTTTTATATTGTTTTCTCACACTGCCATGCAATAAAGCCTTGAGTACTCATACCGATGTAATCATTGCTCCTAAATTCAAAAGTATCTATGATTCAAATCTCCTGGGAAGGAACAGTGCAACAAAGATATATGTTTAAAAAATCCCTGGGTGGCAGACATAGGGACAATAAGAAGAGCTAGAGGAAAGAATGCTTCAGAGCAACTATAGTTACCGTCATTGTTACTGGAGACAGGAACAACCAGCAGGCCCTAAAGTATATCCCTGGTTGGAAACCCAGCATCATGTGAATGTCACGGCAAAATCTTTTCATGCCTACAGAGAAGAAAAGGAATGGGAAACAACGACACTGTTCAGTCAGATGTGTATTATCTGATTGAAACGAACAGATTAACAGTTCGGCTCTATGTATGTTTACTTAAACCTTTTTCAATGTTCGGTGAGACTTCCTCCTAGGTAAGCATGCATCAGATTGTAACCTGAGAGGAAGTCCCACAGAGTATAGTGAGAATAACTTCCAGGTAAGCAGGCATATGTTTGTGCAGTCTGCTATTTCCAAACGATATTTTTATATTTCTTCGGCAGTCTAAACCACTGGGTTGTAATGTGAAAGATGATGTGGTATTTAAATCAGCTTCATGTGATTTCATGTGAAATGGAATAGGCTTTCCTGCCTGAGCAGTGGGTTGGACTAGAACAGTGCCCCCATCTTTGGGCCACCAGGAGAGAGGTTTTTCCACAAACTGGGGGAGGTGTGCTTTCATGTGCTGCCTGCATCCAGCAATGGGGCTTCACTTCTGGTGCCAGTCCACAGCCCAGGGCTAGAAGACCTCCAAGGTCTCTACCAACCCTGTTATTCTGTATTCTGATTTTTAAGCATATGCCACTGATCCTAGATTTTGGCTACCTTTTTTATAATCCCAAAATCTCTGCTCCACAAATTACATCTCATACATTTTTGCACTTCTCATTTCACTTTTTAAAAAAGGGACTTTATAACAATTGCAAAAATATCTTACCATAAACACGTGTTACTACCAGACAGGTAGTTATGACCACCACCATGAGCCCAAACCCAGCACTGTAGTCATCCAGTAGCACCAACCAGTACATTCCACCCTGCAGAGAAAAAGTCAGAAAAGGTCCAAAGTCTGTCTGTCTGTCTGTCTGTCTTTCTGTCTTTCTTTCTTTCTTTCTTTCTTTCTTTCTTTCTTTCTTTCTTTCTTTCTTTCTTTCTTTCTCAATGGAAGAGTATATTTATAGCTCAGGGTGAAACTGTGGGATTCTTGTCTCTTGGCTATATCCTTGCAGCAGTGACGTGCGACTAGGAATTTTTAAGCTTTTAACCCTTGCTTAACTCTGCTCAAGTGATCATAAAATGCCTAAAGTCAGACTAGATGAGGCACGTCGTTCTCCTGCCTCCTCCTGTAAAGGGTGCTTTTTTAGAGGCTTTT